TAAAACCTTGATTTGTTTTGTAAACCACCCCCCCATGCCTTCCCTGAAGAATGTGACGGTGCAAATAAGAAAACGTTCCTCAGCATTCTGCAGAATGAGTTAAACTGTCCTTCCTTACGGGAACAAACAGAATGCCTGAAAATGGGTAAAATGGTCATCAGATGTCTTTCTAAGGACCGAGACAAAAACAATGCCTAAGCCAAGTAAAACATATTACTGTAAGGTTTACAAAATGTGACCTTGTCTATGGGAACAAAAAGTTAAACCTCAGTCATAACTGACTCAAAATAAGCTTTGTAAAATCCCCCCTCCTTCCTCTACTCTTGTGGTTTTAAGTTTGAGTCCGGTTTTTGATTTTTGGGTTACAACACTGTTCATCTGGAGATGGTGATGTGAAGCAAACAGGCCTCTCCATTCTTTTGGGGCTTTCGTTGAATAAATCTTTTTACCCTTTTACCACAATATATGGCCTCCTCCGATTTGATCAGGGGCAAGCGAATGAACCTAAGAGGTTGGTAACAAGACTAACTTAGCTTGTCGCAGAAGATGGAAAACTGTCACTGAATTTGGGATTTGTTTTGGAGAACAAAAAGGAGATACTGCTGTATCAGAAATACTTGGGGAGGGGAGGAAGGGATGAAAAGAAACGAATCCGGTTTGTGATTACCGGGGCAGGAGGGGTACAGTAGTGCCATCCGAGAATGAATACTTTGGAATCAACCTTCATGATCTTAAAATCTCCCCTAAGGTTTATAGACTTGGCAAAATGCTTGCTCTAAATTTGTTTGCAAATTAAAAAATAAAAAGCTTGTTTACCTTCAGTAAAACAGATGGTTGAAAGTGGATGAGATAATGCGTATAAAAGCTCAATGAACACTGTAAGGGCTACCTGCACCTCCACCGCACGGCACCCTCAACAGGGCAAGTGTTTTTAGTTTTTTTTTAAACATCCGCGAGGCGGAGGCACATGCCCTGAGGAGGAGGTGGGACGCACGGGCTCAATGAATGAAGAAGCAAGCCCTCCAGCATCGCTCACGCCCAACCTCGCCCTCCGGGCCTTGGGGACCGCCCCTCCTGCACTTGCGCACTGGGTCCTCCACCGCCCTCCGCCGCGACCCTCCCCACTTGGAGCATGCGCGGACCTTTTGGCGCCAATTTCTAGTCTCCGGGCGGCGCGGCCAATTCCAAGTCCGGGCGGCGCGCGTTCACTCTTACCTCGGCTCCGGGATGATCGGCCAGAAAACTCTGTACTCCTTCTTCTCCCCGAACCCCTCCAGGAAACGTTGTGCTTACAGTCCCGAGCCAGCCGACCCAAAGGCCGGCGTGGCGGCCGTAGCTGGAGAGAACGGCGATGTGACGGTGAGGCGAGGCAGGGACCGCCTTGGGGGCTGGGATAAGGGGAGGAAGGCAGGGGTCCTGCCAGGTTCAGGGGGTGTAAGAGCGCGCCATTCACGCGGTATCCCGGGCCTCCTGTTCAAAACAGGTTACACGTGGTCTAAACACCCCGTCGCAGTCCCTCACCGGCCGCCGTACTAAAGCGCTAGCCAATGGGGGCGCGCCCGTAGGATAGCGGCGCCAATTGCCGTGCAGCTGGCCCGCCCTGCTTAGCTTCCCGTCCAATTAGGAGAGAGAGGAGGCGGGATTCCTGCTGAGTATTTTTGCCGCGAAAAGTGCGCGTGGGGACTCCAGTGGCGGCTCCCGCCAGGAGGGGCGGGGCGTTTGGGTCCTGGGTCTCCGGTTCCGGAAGCTTTTCTAAGGAGGTCGCTGGGCGGCTTCACAGCATCTCTTATTTCGGCCGGGCGCAACTATGGGCATCTTTTGCCGTGGGTCGCAGGGTTTGGCTGGGAAGTTGCGGGCAGCTGGAAGAGAATCGCTGCGGTTCCTAACCCGTCCTTGCGGGGACCCTTTGCAGGCCAGCCCCGCCAAGAAGGCCCGGGCCGGGCCGGACGAGCCCGGCACGCCGCCCTCCTCGCCCCTAAGCCCCGAACAGCTGGACCGGATCCAGAAAAACAAGGCCGCGGCGTTGCTCAGACTTGCAGCCCGAAACGTGCCGGTGGGCTTCGGGGACAGCTGGAAGAAGCACCTCAGCGGAGAGTTCGGGAAACCGTATTTTATAAAGGTAGATAGAAGGTTTACCTTTCTCAAAGAAAACGCGGAGGCACCTCTGTTTAGTGCACCAGCAGGCCAATTCTGCCCGATGTTTTCAACAGATTCATATTTTCCTCTAATGCCCTTTTCAAGCAGGTAAAGGTGGTCGTGGTGTTTTGAATCTTCACCTTTATATCGGCTAAAGTTGTTAGATTGTAAGGTTAAGCCACCTCCTTTGCTCTCGGTGAACGAATGATTGGCCTTGTAAAATCACCAGCCAGCCTGAATGAAACCGTGCTTGCCTTTTGTAAGGGGAGAGAGGTTGGCATTGCTGGGAAAGTAAAGTGCAGCAAAAATGAACTTTGTTCCAGCTCAGAGAAAGTGAGGAAGAATTGGTGTGGTTGAGCAAGTTAAGTAGGGAGCAAATACTGGAGGGGGTGTGTGTGTGTGTTTTGTTTTGTTTTAAAGAATTTGGGGGGCTGGTGAGATGGCTCAGTGGTCTAAAGCACCTATTTAGAACAAGCTTAGCAAAGCACAGGGACCACGGTTCAATCCCCCAGCACCACATGCCAGCCAGCCCCGCCCCCTGGTGGGCTGAGCTGGCCACACACACACACACACACACACAGACATAAATAAAATTAAAAAAAAAAATTTACTAAAAAAAAAAAAGAATTTGGATTTAAAAAATGGCAAGGAACTAGATGAAGTTACAAACTGCTTTAGTAAGATTTCTTACTAAATTTATATGGTTTCCACCTAAAATCTGATTTTAAATGTAGTTTATCTTTTAAATTAGCTAATGGGATTTGTTGCAGAAGAAAGAAAACGTTACACTGTTTATCCACCACCACACCAAGTCTTCACCTGGACTCAAATGTGTGACATACGAGATGTAAGTACGGTTGTTGAATTTTATTATGGAAGGAGGGTAAAGGGTGTTTCTTGAGGCCCTGTGTTCCATCCCCAGCACTCCCTCTCCAGGTAGGCTGTCCAGTTGAGTAATGTGCATCATTGGAAACATTTCATGTAGTAGTGTCATCAAACTTAACAGAACTGACAATGCTAAATTAACTCGTAGAAGAAATAAAACAAGGGAACAGAAGATAATGCATCGGTGGGAGACCCAACCACTAAAACATTGTGACTTGTTTTCCGTGCATTTCATAATCAGTCTCTTAAGGGCTTTGTGAATGTTCCTGGGTGCAGTCTTTGCTGTGGGGTATTTGGGAAAGCCATGCCAAGTGAGAGACTGGAGGGCTCATTTGAAGGAGGAACTTTTTAGTATACATTTTTGTTAGACTTTTTCTTTAAAGCTAAGATGGCCATACTTGGCATCCTCCTACCTCAGCGTCAGAATGCTAGCCTATAGTATGTGCCCCCAAGCTCATGTCTATATTTTCAACTGATTTATATTTCCATTGTAATTGTACATATTTGTGGGGTACCCTTGATTTCAGTGTAAAGATAAGACTAAGGTAAGTGGTATATTTACCACTTCAGACATTTTTGTTTTGTGTGCAGTACATTCAAAATTCTCTCGATTAGCTATTTTGCAATGTTCAATTAATTGATAGACTTACTGATCTATGCCAGTGATGGCAAACTTTTTAAAGGAGTGCCAAACTGTAATACAAAAGCCACTTATTTATCACAAAGTGCCATCACTCCCATTATACCTGAATCCTGAGGTTTTAAGTAGAGAAAACAGCTCTACATTAACATCTTTTGTCTTGGGGAAAAAAAACCCAAAAACCACTACACATGTGCTGTAGGTTTACCACCACTGGTTGGTGCCATGTCACCGCTCTTGGGCACCCTTCCTGGGCTTTGCTAACTACTTGTTTGAAATCTACTTTTATGTTTGCTTTCATTTGTATTTTATTTAATACTGAAGACCCATGCCTGTATTAAGTGTTATGGCAGTGGTAGTGAAGAAGCTGGGTCGTGAAGCATTTGTGTCTTTATGCGTTTTTAGCTGACGGCCACCACGACTTGCCCACGCTGGCTCAGGAGCATGACCTGTGGCCTGCCTTTGTTACTTTGTCCTGTGTGTAGCTGCTGCGTGGCAGCGCTGGTCACTTCAGTTTTATGTTCAGAAGCTTACATTGACCTGACTACACTTCTAAAGACTGAAAACTGAGTGTGATAGACCCTCCTTAAATAGGGCTGTATGCTCTTGCCCAGCCTTGCCTCTGTCTCCGCTGCTGACAGTGGAGTGCCATGAAAGGGTTTCTCTGTAGAAAAACAACTGGATCCCTCTGTGGCACCTGTGGAAACCTGTTGCTGGCTTCCTAGTGATCGGGTTTTCCTCTGAGCTGTGACACCTTCAACACACGCTGGTACAAGGTTGGGGATTGGGGTTTTTATTTTTCTTCCTCCCCCATTTTGTAAGCTGAATTACGAAGTTAGGGTTTAGGGAATATCTTGCTCAATCAAAGAAGTGAAATAGGTGAACAAACCATCTGGGTAAGACAGCCATGCCCAATACTTAGACATTTTCACAATCTAGTAGCATAAGAATTTTCACTATAGATAGCTCCCTGTTTTTTAAAGTTTTAAATAAACTTACTACATTCAGTGCTTCTTATTCCTTATTCGAATATTGTGCTGTGTTCTGAATGTTATATTCTGATATAATCAGGGAGGACTCTCAAAGTATCAGATGTGCATCTCTGAGGCTGCTGGGCCTGTGGGCTGCTTTGCAGATGAGCATTCAAGATCAGGGAGATTAGCTGACTCACCTAAGATCACCCCGTAGCCAGGCCTGGAGCCCTGGAGCTGGCAGCCTTCCCTGCCAGGCTGGGTGCTTCATTTGGGATATGCTGGTGACCCAGTGAGCAGCGAGGTTAGAACGAGGACCTAACTGGTTGTGGCAGCATTGGTCTGCAGCTAGATTGGAGAGATGTACAAGGTGGCAGCTGAGGAGGAAGGTTCAGAGACAGAGCAGCATTCCAGTGAGGGCAAGGCAGACCACATATCCGGAGGCCTGCATTTCAAACACCTGGGAGATGGAGACTGCATTGGTTTTCATTGCCTCTTGCCGCCTACTCCTAGGGCCCCTTGGACTGATCTTTATGCTGGTTTCATCTGTTCCACCTCTAGGGGAATAGGCCTCTCTGCTAGTGAAGGATCTGACCTGTATGGAGGTTTAAAATACAATTCTCAGGGCTGGGGATATACCTCCCAAGCGGCACAGTTCCTGCCTGGCAAGCACAAGGTCCTGAGTTTGATTCCTGATACAGACAAAAAGAAACAAGCACACTTGTCCCTTCACACGCCAGCCCCCTGTGATTCATGACAGACATGAAGCACCAGTGAGTACTAGTAGCTTGCTGCCGGGCTTTTCCATAATGGACAAGTAAGTGCCCCTGATCGAGAGTCTTGAGTATTCTATTGATTTGAAAGAAGCCTACAGTGTTGAGCAGAAGACACACAGCATGAGTGCAATAACCCCCGTAATGTGGGTGATTAAAACTGGCTAACTCTGGGGCTGGTGGTGTAGCTCCAGCAAGCTTGCCTAGAATGTTTGTCTGGCATTCTAGGAGCCCTGGGCTCAATCACCAGTACTGTGCACATAAAAAACAAAGACTAACTCAGATGGTGTGCCACTGTGTGTTTCTGGGCATGTTTACTTTTGTCACTTGAAAAGCTAAGAGGATAAATGTGAAATTAACTTCACCTTGTCTCACACTGAGCAAAAGGATGGCTGCACCTCAGGGTGGTACAGTGAAGGATCATGGGAAGTGGGAAGTGACAGTGCTGAGCAGGGCTCCCCTCCTCACCGATGTGTCCCCCTGTGCATAATCAGCCATGTGTTTGTTGGAACTGAGCACTGTGGTTGTGTCTTATTCTTTGCCACCTGGTGTTCACAGGTGAAAGTTGTCATCCTGGGACAGGATCCTTATCACGGACCCAGTCAAGCTCACGGGCTCTGCTTTAGCGTCCAAAGACCTGTTCCACCCCCGCCCAGGTACAGTAGCTGTACACACACATGGCTGCAGTCCAGCCTCGGTTGCGTTCAGATGTGTACTTTGCATATCAGAGGCCCACTGTTTGGGGGACCTCGAGCAGCCTTTGGAGCAGGATTTTTTCTCCGTGTTGGCACTGTTGGCGCTTGGGCTGAATCATTCTTATTCTTCACTGTGGGAAATCACAGTGTGCTGTGTACTGTGGGAAGTTGTGTGGGAGGCAGCACTTTCCCTAGTTAAGAAGCTTTGGAGAATTTTATATGAAATGCATCCCATACAAAGTGGCTGGGTGAGGTCGCACACGCCTGTAATCCCAGCATTCTGGGCGGCTGAACAGAAAGATTGTAATTTTGAGTCCAGTCTAGGTACTATTTTTTTTTTTTTTATTTTAAAATTTTTATTATTTTAATCAGATTTTATTGGTATGTTTTGGCTATACCTAATGATCACATTCATCATAATTTGTACTCAGAACTTGATTCTTTTTCCCATTCTCCCCGTCCTTCCACCCCTTTCCCTCCCCATTTATAAAAGCTTTGTTTCCACATTCCCTTCTTTTCTACTTTTTTTTTCCTTTCCCCGTTCCCCTCCTTTGTTCCCCTCCCCATTTGAACATTTTCTTCCTATTTTACAATATCCATTATACATTTGGAGCCTTATTTATACTTTCGGTTACTCATAACAGAGAAATAACATGCTATTTACACATGTGTGTCCCATTTATTTCACTTAAGAGTATGGCCTTGAGGTGCATCCGTTTACCTAGAAATGTCTCAAGCATACCCTCCTTTATGGCAGCATAGACGTACTTCATTGTGGGGAAAAAGCACCTCTTTTTTTATCCATTCATTAGTTGATACAGTCCAGGCAATTTAAAGAGGGAACCTTGTCTCAAACTTTAAAAAAAAAAAAAAAAAAAAAGAAGTGGGGTCAAGTAGGTAGGGCTGAGAATGTAACTCAATGCAAAGGCCCTGGCTCAATCCTTAGTATTACATACACAATAATATATGCAAATATAATAAGGGTATATGCATGTCATAAGTGCTGGGCTTTTTTTTTCTCTTTTTCCGCCTCTTATTGAGACAGGGTCTCACCATATAGTTCTGGTTGACAGCCTTGAACTTGCAGCAATCCTCCTGCCTCAGCCTCCCAGGTGCTGGGCTTACAAGCGTGCACCTCCACACCAGGGTGGACCAATTTCTTTAGGTCCCCAACGTGCTTCTCTGACCCTTGAATCCCAGTACAGATAAAACATCTTAAGATTTCAGTTGTTTACCTTATGAATTAGGGTCATAGGTTCCATTGTTCCTTCCTAGGACTGGCTTTAAACCTCTTAACCTTTTCGTGTACATCTTTGGAGATTAATGAACTTTCAAAATGATGCTTAAGATTCTGTGGTTTTTTTTTTTTTTTTTTCCTTTCTGGCTTGCTTGCAGTTTGGAAAACATCTATAAAGAGCTGTCGACAGACGTAGATGGCTTTGTTCATCCTGGCCATGGAGATTTGTCTGGGTGGGCTAAGCAAGGTAAGCTCAGCCCTGCTGTGCATATCTTGGGCTGAGCCCAACAGTTTTCATATATATAATTACAGTGTGTGTGTTTGTGTACTGTCTGAGACACGGTCTGACTTTGTAGTTTAAATTGGTGTTGAATTGACTTTAGAGTCCAGGCTGGCCTTGAACTTGCAGCAGTCCTGTTTTCTCAGCCTCTGAGTGCTGGGATTGTAGGAATGTTCCACCACACTGGATTGGTTTGCTATATATTTAAAAAGCTAAATATGTTTTACCTTGAAGCCCATTTTTAAATATTTTAATTATCAGAAACATTTGTTCCCATTATACTGTTTATTCTCTGGGGTTAATATCAGGATTTTTTAAAAAAAATTCTGATGACATTTATCCCATATTTACTTTTAAACTATAAGATGCCAGAAAGGAAGAGATGGAAATAAAATGTTGCTGCTAATCATGATGAAGCGATTTCTTTATGACCTGGTTTATTTGGCTGCACTGGATCCTACAGAATAGAGCGAATGATTTCATGGTGTGTCTGGGGCTAGCCCCTGTTGTCTGGAGCTTGCGCTGCTGCCTCTGAGCCTTCTGTTCCCGTTTCTATGGCCTGTGTTTGTAGGTGTCCTCTTGCTCAATGCCGTCCTCACTGTTCGGGCCCATCAAGCCAATTCCCATAAGGAGAGAGGCTGGGAGCAGTTCACCGATGCTGTTGTGTCCTGGCTCAATCAGAACCTGAACGGCCTCGTCTTCTTGCTCTGGGGCTCTTATGCTCAGAAGAAGGGAAGTGCCATCGACAGGGTATGACTTTAAAATTCTGCTTTTTGAGACAGGGCCTCACTCTGCAGTTGAGGCTGACCTTGAATCCACTGCGTAGCCCAATCTGTTCTCAAACTCACAGCAATCCTCCTGATCCTCCTCCCTCAGCCTTCTAAGTGTTGGGATATATGCCTGGCTTAAAATACTTTAAACAGAATTCTAGGAGTCCCTGATACTGGTCTGTGGTCCTGGGAACTCCACGTTATGAAATGAATCTCTGAGAGTTGGAATCCCCCCCAGAAAACTAAGCTGAATTCACGTAAATTGTAGGAACAATTCATTGTGTATAAGGAAGGCAGCTGGCAGTTTGCAGTTCAGTGCAGTTACTAATTTAGGCGTCCTCTCACAGAGGGTTTGAAAGTCCCTGGGTTCCTTCATTTAACGCATCACACACACACACACACACACACACACACACACCCCGTGTGTGATGAATGAGGCAAGTGTCTTGGCTCCAGGAAATATGGGAGCGTATAGAAAACATGAGGAATTGCATTGAATGAGAAATTTAATTTCCCCATGAAGTCCAGTTGGTGCTGATCCCTAAACCCCAGCTCTGCTTACGGGCATGGCCAAGCCTAGAGCTTCAATTTCTGCCCTTCCTGCATCCTCTCCCATCTTACAACCTCCCTGCTTTTCCCATTCAGTAACTTCTGTACCTGTGTGCTGAGATGTGGAGCCTAGGGTCCTCCTTGAACCCCCTTTTCCCTCTTCTCAAGTCCTGTCCATCAGCTCTGCCTTAGAGACATCCTAGTCCTGCAGCTCCTCGCAGGTGTCCAACCCCTGCTCTGGGATCCCCTGCCTGCCATTCTCTGCAGGATGCAGATATCGGTGGATTGATAGAGGAGTAGTGGAGACGTGTGCTGGGGATGGGAGGGAGGAGAATTAGGAAGGATGGTTTAGCTTGGAGTGAGGCTGAGGTGGGAAGTGTGAATGGGAAGAATTGTCCCATAAATGTTTTAATCGCTGAGGTCAAGGGCTCATTTCTGGTGCATCAGAAATGTGCAGTGACATTGAACCTGACCATTTGTCAGCAGGCATCAGGGTGTGTGTTTTTTCTTTTTCTTTTTCAATGTTTTTTTTTTTTTTTTCTGATACCAGGGATCGAACTTAGGACCTTGCACTTGCCATGCAGGCGCTTAAGCTGCTAAGCTATATCTCCAGCTGGGGTGTGTGGTTTTTTTCATTCTGAGTCTTACTTAATAGTTGGCAAAGGACTTAGGTACGGGGTGTGGTTCCTTATCCCCATTTTGCATTGGGGTTCAGAGAGACAATTCACATACCCAAACTTGTCAGTGAATGATGGGGCCAGGATTTGGGCCTGCTGCACAGAGCTTAGGATTTCATGCCCCCCAAACCCTTGGGGAGCAGCCACCTCATCTCTCACATTTGGGCACTATTTTTAAGGGTAGTGGATACCAATGATTATAAATAGTGTGATCCCAGGTACTTAGGAAGCTGAGCCAGAGGATCACAGAAGCAGCTTGGGCAACTTAATTTTAAGACTCTGTCTTAAAATTTAAAAAGGGCTAGGGAGGTAACTCAGTGGTAGCACACTTGCCTAGCCTGTGTGGAGCTGAGTTCAGTACCTGGTACTGCCGTACTGAGGTGAACAGAGTGTCTCGTCTCACATCCTAGCTCCTGTCTTCTCGGCCTCTACCCACCTTGGGTGAGCACTGGGGGCTTTTAAAAATTTCTGATGTGTCCTTCTGGAGTATTTTTATGCATACACAAGCAAATACTAAATGAGAGTAAAAAGAATCCTAGACTGCATAAGATATTTTCAGAGGATTTGCTTAAGGAAAGAACTGCAGAAAAAAATCTTGAGTGAATTTGACCGTGAATGAACTGCTAAGGACAGTTACCCAAGTAGGGAAGACGTGCCTGTCACTTCTAATCTCTGCGCCTCAGGGAGGTTTACAGCCAATGTAATTCTTAGCACATTAGGTAGTCTTTGTTATTGTTCAACAAGGCTTAATGTAAAAGTAAACCGTTGCTGAAGAAGATCCACCATTAAGCCACATTAAGTATCTCTAGCAAGTCTTCTAAGTTGTAGATCTAGTGCATACTACCTCCTTATTAGTGGACCTTAAACCCATCAAATTCATTTTCCACACTAAAGTCTCTCTTCTCACTAAACTTGTACATCGATACTACTCTGCAGTAAAAAATAACAGCTGTGTGGTTATTGAACCAGAACTCTTTTTTTTCACAACTCTTGATAGCATGCCGTTCTTGGTATCTCTCTAGATGTCTGGTCTCCTATTCCTCTATCTTCTGCTCCCCTGTCCTCTCCCCAAGTGTAGTCATTCGTGTCTGAAAACTCCCTCCATCTCTGCTGTCTTTCAGTTCCACCCCATCTAGCCACCTTGGCCAGCATTGGCGTTCATCTGACTGCCCCGAGGCTTCCAGGGCCTTCTGGGAAGGCCCGGGCTTAGGCTGCTCAGCTGGGCTGGGAATAGCCTGTGGAGGGGCTCACTGCCCTGGCTTTCCTCTCAGCTCCAGGTGACTGTGCCACCTGCTTGCTTCCTGTGCCTGCTTCCCTGCCATTTTTGGCACGGCCTAGGTCCTGGGTCCTGACCTAGGAGGCTTTTCCTTCAGAGCCCAGCATTGCTGACAGAGACAAGGCCTGCACTGCTTACCAGTGTGTTGCCTTGTTGTAATGCTCTGTGGCCATTATTTGATGCCTCACAGTGATTGTGGGCAGGGGGCTGTGGTATTGGGGGTTGAACCCAGGGATTTACACTGATTCTTTTCTGTTTTTTCTTAAATTAAAAAAATTTTTCATTTATGTATTTGGTATGGGGTCTCACTAGGCAGCTCAGATTCCTAGTGATTCTCCTGTTTTCAGCCTCCCCAGTGCTGGGATTACAGGTGTGTGCTGCCACGCCCAGACGTGGTCGATGACGCAGCGCACCCCAGGATTGAACCTTGGTCCCTGAGCTTGCCAAAGCAGGTGCTTGGTCCGCTGAGCTATCTCACTGGCCCTTGTTTTCTATTTTGAAGCAGCTTCTCAGTAAGTTGCCCGAGGTGGCCTCAAACTTGTGACCCTTTTGACTCAACCTCCCAAAGAAAGGGCTGGAATTACAGAGTACACCATCATGTCCAGCTTGTTGCTGCTCCTCGTTGACTGGTAAAAGCTCAAATGCAGGGGCCAGGGAGCTCACTCAGTAGAATAAGCGTTTGGCAAGTGCAAGGGCCTGAGATCAGTCATGCAGCCTAAAGGACTCTAACAAGTTCCCTGTAATTACTGGTCAAGTGGCAGAGCTGGGATTTGAATGCACGCTGTCTGGCCCTTAGGCTGTGTGCTCTGCCCCTGCTGGGCTGCCTCTAATTATCATTCCTGCTACAGTGGGCTCCTTTGAGGCAGGGATGTTCTAAAAAGCTGTTCTGATTTTCTAGGCAGTTTTATTTAAATATAGAAGATAATTGAAAGAAAACCAAAACTGGCCCATAATCTCTGTTCAGATAACTATACCTGGCATTTAAAAAACACAGTAGTTATTTTGTGGTGCGACAATTCAGACACTAGAAAAGTACAAAAGGGAAATAAATGTCTTCTAGAGTTTCATTCACCTAAAGGGATTATTATACATGCAACAGTGGATTTTTGTGTTTGGCAGTGCTAGAGATTGGCACCTACGGTACCTGCTTCATTACGTGCCAGCAAGTGCTCCAGTCTAGACCTCAAAATAATTTTTTCTTTTTGTAAGACAGGGTTTCATTATGTAGTTACGGCTGGCCTTGAACTTCCTTTGTAGCCAGGGTTGGCTTTCAATGTATAGATCCTCTTGCCTCAGCCTCCAGGGTGCTAGGATTACAGGTGTGCACCACTATGCCCTGCAAAAATAAATTTTTGATGCTTTTTGTGCTTTCTATTGGTATTTATTTATTTATTTATTTATTTATTGTGTGGCCAGCTCAGCCCACCAGGGAGCGGGGCTGGCTGGCATGCGGTGCTGGGGGATTGAACCGCGGTCCCTGATGCCTTGCCAAGCTTGTTCTAAGTAGGTGCTTTAGACCACTGAGCCATCTCACCAGCCCTTTCTATTGGTTTTTTTTTTTTTTCCCCCCACTTGATAAGTTTTGAGCTGCAGATGTATCGCAGACTGATCTGGCCGGCAACCTCCCAAATGAGTGGATGGCAGAGGCTTAAATAGACAAGTGGTATGATTTAGGGCTCCAGGAAGATCAAAACTCTCCAGCAGAATTTGAGTTGTTTAGGGGCTGAGATAAAGGGATGGAATACTGAGGAACGTGAGGAAAACTGGGCAGGAACTTGGAAGTCTGTACAAAGGCTTCCCACATAGTAAATTACGCTAATTAGGAGAACTGTCTGATCATCAGGTTGACATTCACTGAAGGAGTGAGACGCCTACAGCTGCAATCTCTATCTAGTTAATTGGGGTTGGCGCCTGGTGTCCTCAGCTGTGGCCTTATCTTGTCCTTTGAGATGTCATAGCATCACAAGCCGCTATAGGCCTCAGCTGCGACTCAGAGAGGTTCACCTGCTATGAATCTACTGCCTACCTCCACATAAGGGGCCTCAGCCTGGGATAAATAAACATAAAAAACAATTCATTTTAAATCCTGCTCAGAGCCACTGCCTAGTGCTGGCATGCCCAAGGCCCTGAGTTCAGTTCCCAGCACATTGTTTTAAAGTACATGGAGCTTGACTTCGTGCTTTCAGCAGCTGGGTGATGTTCCATTCTAAGAATTCTGGAAAAATATTAAGTCCTGGAGCACTGGACTTATATGAGGCTTTTAGCTGAATTTTAATTCTTTCTGTAATATTGGGAAATGAAGCCAGGGAGTACTTAGTTTATCTCCAGCACTTTTTTAGAATTTTATTTTGAGACATAGTCTAGCTAAGTTGCCCAGGCTGGTGTTGAACTTAATGATCTTCCAGCTTTAGCCTCCCAAGTAGCTGGGATTACAGGTATGAATCATAATACCCAGCTTTTTTCCCCTGTATTTAGGACAGGATCTACAGAGTCTCACTATGTAGATCGGACTCGTAGTGATTCTCCTGTTTTCAGGCTCCCAAGTGCTGGGATTACAGGTGCATGCCACCATGCCCAGTCTCAGTCGCCCTCTCAGCGTGCCGGGCCGGCATGGCAGGCTGGGGATCAAACCCCAGCTGCTATGCCCAGCCTAAGCAGGCACTTTAGTCTGCTGAGCTATCAGGCTGGCCGATACCCAGCTTTTAGCTGGACTTTTCTTCTTTTCTTTCATCTTTTCTTTCTGGAAACAACATCTCTCAGTTTATATTCTGGGCTGGCCCTGAGCTCACTGTGTAGCCCAGGGGTAGTCTCAGTTTCACAATGATCCTCCTGTCTCAGCCTCCTGAGACAGCCTCACACGAAGGCCAGTTCTCTGGAACGCTGGCTTCTTTACAATCAGAAAATTGATTCCCAATCTCAGGACCACATTTCTAGAAGCTTGTGAAACATCTTCAAGGTTTCTCCAGGGATTATAGGTGTGGGTTATCATGACCAGCATTAGCTGTTTTTATACTTGGATGCAAGCAGTGTACAGTCAGTCCTGCTCTACAGTCACCTTTGTGTGATCACATGTCGTACAGTTCTCTAGGAGATGTCATCTAAGTGGCCTCTTAGCAGAGATTACTGTATCACACTACTTGGAACCTGCACATTGCACAGCTGCCACCAAATAGAAGGCTGGTACTGGTCCTGTGCGACCTCAGAGCTTAGTAGAAGTCAGCCCTCTACAAGGGAGGAAATATGAAAAGCTCCCATACAAGTGCTTAAGGTAGATTCGCTTTGAGTGGTGGAAGCATTTAAGTGGAGCAGAGGGAATTGCCTTCCTGATCTGTCACTTACTATTGTTGTTCCTTTTCCAGAAGCGGCACCATGTCCTACAAACTGCTCATCCATCCCCGTTGTCAGTGTATAGAGGATTCTTTGGCTGTCGACATTTTTCTAAAGCCAATGAGCTGCTGCAGAAGTCTGGCAAGAAGCCCATTGACTGGAGTGAGCTGTGATCCCACACAGCAGTGGTCATCTCCTGGGGTGATTTTTGAGGTGCTGCTGTTGAAGATTTGTCAGATACGAAGTTACTGTAAATTTCTGTACTGTTGAGCACTCTGCTTAACAATGAGAGAGAGCCTTCTCAAAGCAAACAAGAACCAGGCTGTCCCGTATGGCAGCTTTATCCAGCCAGAAGTAGGTAGCAAAGATACCCTTTGACAGCTTCTGTGTATTTCAGTTGTCCTCTAATCAAGGCAGAGTGGCTTGGTGAAAAATCTTCTCACAGGACAGCTGAGTCAAGTAGTCCCTTGGGGCTCTTCCCCTCCTTTTTAGCCTTACAGTCAGAAGGGGAAATAAGCACGTTTTTGACACCTCCTCCAAAAGTTTGGTGCTTGCTGCTAGTTTAGACTTTATAGGTTACAAGGTATTTTGTTTTTGCTTAGAACCTCCCTGCTCCTTCTTACAAGGAATCCCAGATCCCTCCCTGGAGAAACCTTGAGAATGTTTTGCAAGCTTCTAGAAATCTGGCCCTAAAATTGGGAATCAGTTGTGGTGGAGGCCTGCATTCCTGAGAATTGTCTTTGGTGTAAGCCTTAGCAAACCAGCAGGCTAAAAACCACAGCTGGCAGCAGGTCCTTCTCCTGTTCTTTGAGTGCTTCCTGGAGTAGTAGGTAGTGAAAGTTGAACAAAGATGAGGAGAGGGTTTTTTTAATGAGAGATAAGTGTTTCTCTCAGTGCTGATAAGGCAGCACAGGCTGCCCAGTGCTGTTTGTTTTGGAGATTTATTTTTTATTTTTTGCAACACTGGTAAATTTAACCTTTTTTTTAATGTATATATAAAATACACAGATACATATTTTTTTTTAATTCTTTTTTTAAGAGACGACTGTCTTTACTGAGTCTGCACCTCTACTGGATGTAATAGAGACTTTGTTGTCAGCAGGGTTAAAAAGTTAGCCCTGTACGAATTTGGTAATAAAAATTGTTGAAGTTTCCTTTTGTACCAACCTTCCTTTGGTGTCTGCGAACACTTCAGGGCTGTCCTTGTACTTGGTTAGTGTCTGTGCCCCACCCTCTGGTTGCCAGGGCAACCATTGAATGTTAAAGGCAGGGCAGCCCTACCTCCAGCCAAGATCCACTGCTATGAAGTTGCCCACCGCCCTTAGCCAGGCTTTGGTAAGCCGCAGGCCCCGCCCCCTGCCTGGAACACCTTGACCCCTATCTTCTGTAGGCAGAGCAGGCTAGCTGGGGTTGGCAGGGACAAAGATCAATCCTCAGGGGATCTTGGCATCTTGTCCTGGCTTTTTCCTGCCGTACAGTGACTGCATTTCTAGACTTCCCTAGCAATCTGATGTGACTTGATGGTTGCCTATGGGCCTACAAGCAGTAGGCCCTGAGATCCGGTGGAGTGTCGGGATGGAGATGGGATTCCCTGGTGTCTGGAGAAGGAAAGAAGGTACAGTGGGTGTAGCTCTGCAGAACATGTGGCTTGGTGTGCGTCGTGCCCTGAGCTCCATCCCCAGCACCAAAACCTGAAATGGTGTAATGAAGTGTTGTAACGTGTGTACCAGAAGTGAGTAAGAAAGAATACGTTAGTGACACATGGAGACCTGCAAGTATGTTCGGCAGAGTGGGGATAGAACACTTCGGCTTTGCTTGGAATCCCTTCCTGTGTGGCTCTCAAGTTTTTTGTGTGTGGAAAGGAAGATTAGGAGTCTGCATCTGGATCAGCCAGCAGGCTTCTGCAGAAGAATGATTCCTCCTCAACTTGATTTTTGATCCCTTTCCTGAAGGGCTGCAGTGGACTCCTTTACCCAAAAAAGAGGTAAAGCAGTAGCACTTGTACTGTGTAGGCTTTGAGACCTCCCTGAGTGCAGGACTGTGAGGAGAGAGGGAACAGTTAACTCAATAAACAGTTATTTGGTGTTCTTAAAAAACAGCCAAGTTGGGGCCGGGGAGATGGCTCAGTAGAATAAGCTCTTCCCTGGCAAGCGTAAGGGCCTGAGTTCAATACCGGGTTCCACCAAAAAAAACAACAACAACAAAAAACATTCAAGTGTGGTAGCCCAGGCCTATAAATCCCAGCTAAGTGAAACCCTTAGAGCAGGAGAATCTAAGTACCAGGCCACCCTGGCCTACATAGGGTGATCATGTTTCAAAAAGGACTGGAGATAGGGCTTGGTAGAGTTTCCCTAGTATGTGCAAGGCTCTGAGTTCAATGTTTAATATGAAAAAAACAAGTTTTAAAAAGAAAAAATGTCTTTTTGACATAGGGTCTCATTGCAGTTCAGGCTGGCCTTGAGCTCACATTGTAGCCCAGGCTGGCCTCAAATTTATTGCAATCCTCCTGCCTCAGGCTCCCAGGTGCTGGGATTACAGGCGTGTACCATCATGCCTGGCACACAAGTCATCTTTTGACTTTGTTATGCTTCCAACCCTTGATGTGCGTAAATGAATTTAAAGAAAGAATAAAACACATTCTGCCCCCTTTAGACCAGAGGTTGGTTGGCATACTTGAAGCATCAGATACAAAGTATTCTGGTTTTGAAGTCATCTGGTCTCTGGAAACTATACATTTGGAGAAAGAAGGTAGAAAAAGTCAAACTAGCTGAGACTCTGTCTCCATAAAACTATTTGTAGACAGTGAAATTTGAATTTAATACTATTTTTGTATGTCACTATAAATGTTTTTTGTGGGCCAGGGAAATGGCTCAGTAGAATAAGCACTTGCCTGGTAAGTACAAAGGCCTGAGTTCAATTCCTGGTTCTGCAAAAAAAAAAAAAAAAAAAAGGGACAGATAAATGTTTTTTGTTTATTTGATTTGGTTTGTCTTATGGTGCTGGGGATTGAACCCAGTGCCTTTGGAGTGAAATATCTCCCCAGCCCATTTTTTAAATTTTGAGATAGGATCTTGTTAAGCCATTAAGTTACCCAGGCTGGGGTTGAATTTGGGATCTTCCTGCCTCGGCTTCCCCCAGAGCTGGAACTCCAGACAGGAATAACACTACAGTTTTGATCTGACAAATATGGAAATTGCTCCTAGCTATGTGCAGTGACACCAGCCTGTAATTTTAGCTATCTGGGAATATGTGGTTCTAGGCTAACAAGTTTGAGGCCAGCCTGGGTGTCCTGCTAAGTCTCTGTCTCAAAAAAGAATGGTAGAATGTCTTGCTTGAGACGCTGGGTCAAGCCCCCAGTTTCACAAAGGACAAAAACTCACTGCTAGCTTGGGAGCCATAGTATATAGACTCTTGGGTCGGGCACTGTCGGGCAAGGTGGAAACAAGAAAAGCTACCCTGAGTCAGCACTGGAAAAGAGGAATTCTCATAGCTGGAGTGTCTGAGCTGCATAAATAAGGGGAAAAGGAAGGAAAAGGAGAGCATTTTGTGAGAAAAGCAGCCTGTTCAAGGCCAGGTATGGGACTCAGTGCTGGGTACTGATTAGAAGGATCTGCATGGCAGTGTGGTACTCCGGACTGTAGAGAGGAGAGGATCTACTTATGGCTTGGCTTTCGGACCTTCGAGATTAGTAGCCCAGGGAAATCACTTATGCAAATGTCATCCTGAGAACCCCACGTTGTAAATTAATTGTGTGAAAGTTCACTATCTGATTTTGATTTGAGTCTCGTAGGGCAAAGTCGGGAGAGGATCGTTGGTGATCTTTTCAGTAATGGGTTGTTACTAAGCTTGCGTTCAGATGGTACATTTCCTCTGCCTTGAATTCACCATCTACTTCCGGTTCCTCCTGGTAGAAGTGGTGTTGGGAATGGATTTTGGTAGAGAAGCAAAACTGTGGTGTAGGTGAGTGGTGCTGGCTTTTCATCCATGCTGAACCTTCTGGTTGTCTGAAGAAAAACAGGTAGGGAACACTGGGCTACTTCGGGGAGGGTCCTTGAGTGTCCGCCTGGGCTGCCTAGACTCAGACCCTGGTTCTTCTGCCTGGTAGAGATGGCTGAGTTTTTGCTGTAAAGTCCTTTTGATGCTTTACTTTGGACTTCATAGCACCATTGTAGATTATGTCATTTGGAACTAGTTTTTAATTTTTTTTTATTTTTGCCACATTGGGACTTGAGTCGGTCTTACACATGCTGGGCATGCACTCTTACCAGTGAGCTACATACCCAGCCTGTATGCTTCTTCACTTGCTAAATGTATGTACATACATACATACGTACTGGGGGTTGAATCTAAGGCCCTCACACCCCAGCCCTGTAGTTTTTGAGGCAAAGTCTCAATAAATTGTCCAGGCTGGGCTTACGACTGTTCTTTGCTTCTCAGCTGTAAATTTCTTGTTTTTTTGTCTCTCTGTTAGTGGCACTTGGGTGAGGTGAAGGGAGACCAAGAGGCTTCCAGCAAGTGGATAGTGCTCCTGGAACTTGGGCAGACTTTGAAAAATATTAATGCATGGCTGGGCTGCAGTTCAGTGGTTTTTCCTAGCATATGTACAGCTCTGGGTTCCATTCCCAGCACCACAAAGTAGTAACAGTGCTGGCTCCACCCGTAGATATTCTGATTGCACCGGGCAGCAGGCACCTGCATGTTTGTAAGGTGACTGATTTGTAGTAGGACCTGTCTGTCAGCTGCTTTCCAGGTGCCGAAAGCTCTGTGGTCACTTAATGATTTTTTTAAAATCTTAACAAGTAACTAGATATGTATGACTTTTTAGATCTAGGGTTGTTCTGAAGAATTATGTTTCTACTCATGTTCTTAACATTTGGTGGGAAAAGATCATAGGTAACTTTGGTTACTTGGATTTGAGTTCTAGAAAGTACCTCTATCTTCGATGCTGTCAAGGGAGAAAAAGCCACAGGATGGAGATCTTCACCTGTGTGTCACTCTTGGAAAGGCCTGAATTTTGGTGGAAAGGTGTTACTTGATGCCTGCTAGGAGCAAGGTGTTGTGCTAGAGGCTTAGTGTATATATTTTTTCTCGTTGGTACCCTGAAGTAGTTGATAAGAACACAGGCTGAAAGTGTTAATGGCTAACAGCAGTGTACAAAGTCATGCCAGCCTGATTTTAAAGCCTAATTTTGCCACCGTTAACATCCTACTTAGGTTGTAATTATTTGGAGTCATTGGAAAGATTTTTTTTTTCCCCTGTTGAGAACAGAACCCAGAACCTCACATTCTAGACCTGTGCTCTACCACTGGGCTGTACTCTCAGCTCAGAAAGGAATTTTTTTAATAGAATTTTTAAAAATGCTGTTGGGTTATAGATGGCCTTTCTGGGAATCATGGCTTAAGTGGTACCTTTTTTCAAGCAATCATATGGGCTGCTGAGGGTGAAGCTGTCTTAGTGGTCTAGGAGCAGTCACAGGGGCTGCCGCTTATCAGGCGTGGTGCTGACCCAGGACCTGGCTGGGAATTTGATTCAGTGATAATGGAAATTACAACCAAGGCCACAGTACAGATTTACAGGCAAAAACTTTAGGTGAAAAAGAAGATTTCTAGTTGGGCATGGTGGTGTACACCTCGAATTGCAGCGCTCAGAAGGCTGAGGCAGGAGGATTGTTGTGAATTCGATACCAGCCTGGGCTACAAAGTGAGCTCAAGGTCAGCCTGAACTGCATAGCGAGACCTGGTCTCAAAAAGAAAAAAAGAAAAAGAATTTGTTAGTCTTGAGGAGAGGAGCGGAAGGTGCACAGCCCTGGAGAAAGGCAGGTGCCCCAATAATAAAGGAACTTGATTAGGGCTGTGTTTCAAGGCATGGCTTAGCTGGGCTAGGTCTGGTAGTTTTCACTGAGTTATGAATATGGTAATCTTTGAGTCTTTTTCTTGGATTTTAAGTGACTTCCTACTGTCTAGAAGACAGGTTATTGGCCGTTGACACCCTTGGAGATACCATGATGCCCCCTGCTTTTATAACACACCTGTCCCTTGTAATTAAAGGAGGGGGTAAGAGGAGGATGAATCCCACACATTGTTAACAAGGGAAGATGCAAAGAAAAAGAGCCATGTCTTTCCTACCCTGTTACCCACTGAAGGGGAACAGGTAGTGGGCCAAGGCCTGAGAATCGCTCTATCTCTTGTCCTCATGAAGGCGCCTGGCCTCTTTCAGCTCTGTGCACTTGGGCTATGCTGTCTCACCCCCAATTCCTGCTGTGCATACTTGGTGCTGCCTAGGTCCCAGCCAATGACACTGTGACTTCAACATGAGCGCTGGGTACAAAGTCCATATCCTGCTCCCCGCTCCAGTGGAGAAAGTCCTAAGAAGCCTGATTGTTTGTAGTCTAAGTTGGCCTTGAACTTAATGCACAGTGCAGGCCAGCCTGAAACTGCAATCATCCTGCCTCAGATTCCTGAGTAGCGGGATTTGGATATTCAGTAACTTTTTCTTATTGAAAAATAAGCCCACTGGCCAAATAGCTCAGTGGATTAAAGCACCTGCAAGCAGCCACAGGTACTGAGGGTTCCATCCTGGGCCAGCTGCTGGCAGTTGAGACGGCGTGGTGGCACATGCCTGTAATCCCAGCTCTTGGGAGGCTGTAAACAGGTGGATCACTATGAGTCCGATCTAGTAGTGAGACCCTGAACACCCTGTAGACCCTTCCCTAAAAAAAAAAAAAAAAAAAAAAAAGAATTAGAAAAGTAAGCCCATAAGTGAGTCCAGGCAGGGTGCAGCGCTTGAGATCATTTCACACAGATGCAGTGCTTTCAGCCAATTTTCCACTTGGTGTTCAGTACAGTGCATCCTTGCACATAGAAATCAGGGCCACCGAATTCAGTTCCTCTTTCCCTTGGAGCACAATGCGTCTCTGTGTGGTGTCCACCTGCCTGCCACCTACTGCTTGCTTATGTTGGGACCTAGAGGTGACCTTTGTCCCTCTAGAACACTGTAACTGCAGCATGTGCTGGTGTCCTGCTCTGTTCAGCTCTAGCAAGAGCCAGTGACCACAGGAGCCTTTTCCATTTTTCCACCAAGTCTCAGGAAATGGGAAACATTCCATTCAGTGGTACAGTTCCAGGCAATGTCACCAAAGCTTTGGGGAGAGGAGCCAGGGAATCTTTGAATCAACTTCCCCGTTTGAGCTTGACAGCAGGGCTTATTTCTCAAGTAATGATGACTTATAGGCAAGTTGATTTTCAGCATGTCACAGGAGGGCCAGAATGAGTTTGTTCCTGTTTCTTACAATATGAACTTTAGATAGAGCATGCTTAGATCTCTTAAGAATTTTGAAAGAAGTTACAAGATTGGAAAGTAGAAAGCAACCCTCTCCCAGAGTGGCCAGCGCCACCACACATGTGGTCTGTTGTGGGATTGTTTTCTTCCACGCCTGGGTTACTGCTGTCAGTCAGTGCCTTGAAGGTTAAGTGTTCCAAGGATATTTTTAAACAGCAAGGGCTGGTTAATCTAAAGTTGACATTTACAGTCACAGCAGCAAGCAGCCAGCAGACATGACTTCAGGCTCTCAGCAAACAAGAAACAGAAGGCAGCTCTGAGCGCACAGCTGAGAGAGAGGACATGGGACATAGGGAAAGCCTAGCTGAGGTGCTGAGTGGTAAGTCGGCTCACCCTGCCTGGGCTGGAGACCACAGAACCTGGCTGCAAGAGATAGGGAAGGGAGTGCAGGTTAGTAGCCCATATGGTGATTCTTGTTAGGTTTGAGGGCTAACAAGAAGACCTCAGCACAGAAGACCTCAGCAGGTAGTACAGATGAAGGAGAAGGGCCTTGTTCCACAAGCCATTCAAGAGCAGTTCCGTGATCCCTCCACCCCCTACGCCAAAGCTCCTGTCTCAAGAAAAAGTATTCTGCCAGGGAGACAGCTCAGTAGAATAAGCACCTGCCTGGCAAGCCAAGATTGTGAGTTCAATCCCCGGTACCATCAAAAAAGAAAAAGTATTCTGTCCTGTCTCAAACGTGCTGGGTTTTTTATTTTTTATTTTAGTAGGCTCTTAAGAGTATATTGTTTGTAGTGGTCCTACACTATTTTCTTTTGTTTACTGCATTGCAAAGTTACAAGCAAGCAAGAGTCCAGTGGAGCAGAGACAGGATGTATCTGAGCTCCTGCCTGGCCCTTCCTGACACCGCTGCTAAGCAGTTCAATACAAACCTTTCGTTCTGTGCACAGCCTCTTCTATTGTGTTTATTGTGATTATTAAACGTAAATGGGCCTCATTCAGGTAGTGTGCCCCACCATGCTAATTCACTGGGGACTCAGGAGTTCCTGGGTCTTGGGACTTTTAGTTTAGAAACTGGAAGGTAAACATGGTTTTGTTTTAGTAGCGCACGTTTGCGGAACATAGTGAATACATTCATTGTGGGGAGTTGGGTCACGTCGTCATTCTTTTTACAACGCTTGCCCCTCCCTCCCTGCTCCCAGCGTCTCTTTTTGGTTTCCTTCTGAGATCTCCTCCGTTTCCTGTTGGCTTTTCTTTTGTTCTTTATACTTGAGTTTCCCATATAGAGAAATCATAATGATATTTAAGCTTGTGTGATCCTCTCACCTGGTGATTGCCACATAGGCCACTTCCACAAAGACGTCTAATAAGTTGCGTTTTCTTCTGTGTCTGTAATCACTGCAAGCCAGGGGACATCATTGCCGTAAATGGCCTCAACTGGCTCACTTTGAGCAGCTCTCGGAAGGCACGGTATGTTTGCAGAAAGGAGTTTTATTTGTCCTTGATAAAGGGGTTCTGTAAAGTTTCTTGTACCTGTATCACCTTTAGGTCTGAGACAGAAGTTGAGAGTGTTACATTACACACGATTCTCAGACTACATGGGGATAGAAGTAGTGTGTTCATCTTTTGAAATGGCAGTTTCTGCAGAGTCTTACTCCAGGAGAAACTGAGATACCTTGTGCTAAGACTGCCTCTGAAGTCAGAGTCCAGGACTCCTCTCTTGAAAAGTAAGTTCATTGATGCCTAGAGGATGGTGGAAACGACCAGAAATCTTGCAGTTGATATGAAATATGGTTACACATTTCATATTCTAATCTCAGAACTGTGTTTGCTATGATAATAGTAGACCCATTGCTGTAGAGTTCCAGGCAGATGGGCTATGGTCATTTATTCTCCAAATCCAGGGTTCCTCTTACTGGAGAGTATAGGCTAAACAGAGCAGGGAAACTGAGGTATCTAGTTTTGGATAGCTGGTATGCACCAGATATTTAATTAGGTGATGTCATAATTCTTCATAAGGGCAGGCTTAGGAAGGAAGTGTTACTTTTTCTGTTCCCCAGACGGAAACCCAAGGTTCAGAGAATTCCCATGATAGTCTCAGGCCAGTCAGAGGAGATGGCAGTGCTCCCATCTACTTCTACTCTACTCCTCAGTCTTGCTTTGTGGGTGCCATATTCGGGCCCCTCTGTCTCCTGTGCTAGGGACAAACGCACTCCAGAATGGGCCCATCACTTTACCCAGAACTTCAGTCACGTTTGTTCAACTAATTCATAAAGTTCTATTTACCCATCATGTTTATTAATGAATGAGTGATATTAAAGGACAGCCTTGAACACTGCCTTCGAGGTCAATTGGTCTCAGCATTCAGTATTGCTAGTTGTGGGAAATGCCCTCAACTGATCCAGAAGGCTTCCTCTATGCTGCAGGGAGTGCTGACCTCTTATTTCCACCTGCTCAGCAGAGGGGTCTTCTGGGGCCCCCATATTGTGTGGTGATCGCTGAAGCAGGGTACAGCAGGACTCGGAAGCAGTCCATGCAGAAACTCCTGCAGGAGTCCTCTTGGAGCCTTCAGTGCGCTGAGCCTTCGCTGTGCTGATGGGCTAGGGACCTGACAAAGTGTGACTTTGGGATTTGGTCCCAGCAACACGAGTGTTTGGCAGAAGCAGAGACCAACTTTCAGGACTGGCATCCTATGACTGTGATTTGGGAAACACTGAATGTCAGTTTCATCTCACACCACCCTTGTTTCTGTGGGTAAGTGTCGCAGGTTGGAAGCCTGGTTCAGGGCACAAGGTGAACAGAGCTCTGTCTCCTGGGGTTCAGGGTGAGTCAAAATAGGGAGGTGTCTGTAGACTTCAGAGTTAGACCTGCTATTGCGATTGTACTTGGCTTGGGGCCAGGTGGTGGGTGTTAAGGGAAAGGGTAAAGAACATACACATGTAAGAGCTGGATGGACCTGTTCAGTCCCAGCTCCGCCACTTACGGGATGATGACCTTGGATAACTGATGTCTCCTCTGGCCCTTGTCTCATCATTTGTAAAATATGAGCAATGTGTCAGTTTTTGTGGACATTTAAAAGGAGATATATAAGACCAACTGTGTAACAAGCACTCAACAAAGATCAACCTTTATTTTAGTACGTTTTTGTGGGGTTTGAGGGTCTGCTATATGCTTCCCACTGTCTACATTGGATGTGCAAAAACAAAATGACTTTCAATGTTTTTTTTTTTTTTAAAGGTGCTTGCTGGGGAGGTTGGGATGGAATGGAGTGGGCACACCTAGGAGCCGAGCCTCCTGTGTTCTCACCAGGCTCCCCTACCTGCCCAGGAGGCTAGAATACAGGTAACAGCGAACTACTAACTGCTACCTCTGATGAGTCTCAGAAGTCAGAGAGCCATGAAGGCAGAAAGCCGGGCCCAGGCAATTCTGGTAGCACAGTGCAAGGGTCAGGGAGGAGGCAGGCTGGTGTCTTGCCTTTGTAGTCACTTACTGGGATAGGAGGATGGTTCAGGTAGGCTGGAGGGGTGGCTCAGCACACATACCCTGAGCTAGGTACAGCCATTCAGTAAGCACATGTGGCCCCCTGTGGGGGTATGTGTATGGGGAGCTCGTCCTTGCCCTCAGACGGTTACACGTGCACCTTGGTGAAAATACAGTGTTTAATCAGCTTTGATGAGTGGCGTGAAGGAAAGGTACATGTCAAGAATAAGACATGCTACCAGGGAGATAGCGCAGTAGAATAAGTGCTTGCCTAACAAGGTCCTGAGTTCAATCCCTAGTACTGCAAAAAAAAAACAAAACAAAAAAACAGTGTCAGGGAAGGTCTGTGGGGGAACACTAAAGCCAAAGGAGCCAGAAATACCCAGGGGTGGGGGTGGGGGTGGGGGTGGGGGAGAACATTCCTGAAAGCACCAGGAGGGCCTAGATCATAGAGGCAGCAATGGCAGCAAGGCAAGCCATGAGAGGAACTGGAGTTTAATTCAGCTGCTTAATGCCTGGCTGAGTGAGCCTATTAACTTCTGAAACCCTAAGTTTCCTTTTCAGTAAAATAAGGCTTCTCATGGCATTGACCTCTCAGGGTGGTGAGGGATGTTAAATGCTTCATATGGAGCCCAGCGCATAAGGACTAAGGAATAGCGACTGTTTCTTCTCCGGTTGTAGTCAGCAAGCAGAATGCCTTACATTTTGCTTTATATATTTTAACTTTTTTTTTTGAGACTGCCTTGCTATGTCGTCCAGGCTGGCTGAGAGGTTCACCAGCCGCCCAAATTCTGGGACAGGTGTGTGCCACCACAGCTCCTTTAACTTGTTTGTATAGACAAATGTTAACTTTCTTTTTTGTTTTCTTTTTTTTTTTAATTTTTTTTAACATTTATTTAGTGTGTGTGTGCGTGTGGCCAGCTCAGCCCACCAGGGGGCGGGGCTGGCTGGCATGTGGTGCTGGGGGATCGAACTGCGGTCCCTGTGCTTTGCCAAGCTTGTTCCAAGTAGGTGCTTTAGACCACTGAGCCATCTCTCCAGCTCCTTTGTTTTCTTTTTGATGCAGGGTCTTGCTTTGTAGTTCAGGCTGGCCTTGAGTTCACTATGAGGCAAGGGTGGCCTTGAACTCTGATGATCTTCCTACCTCTGCTTCTTGTGCGCTAGGATTGTAGTCTTGTTCCATCCCACACACATGAGCTTCTTGAATAACAAAACCAGTCCTCACACGTCTTCCACCTTGCTTCAGCAACTGCTTTTCCAGTGTCATCTACCTACACATACAGCTTTTCATCCCTTTCTCTCCAACTCTGTAAATGTTCAAAGGTACAATTCAAAAGAATTTCACAGTGAATGCCTTATACCGCCACCGCTTGGATTCTGCCATTAACATTTTGCTACACTTGCCTATAAATACATTAGCATCTATCTCTAAAAGAGATAAACAATTTTTAAAAACTGATTGCCAAAATTATCTTTAATACAGTGGTAATTCCTCAGTCTTATAGTTATCCCTCCAAAGCAGCAGGAAATCCCCAGCCGCTTTCTAATTTCAAGACAGGATCTCTATTCTTCTGCCTCAGACTCTTGCACAGCCAAAATTTCTTTTCCTTCTGTGTTTTTTTTTATTATTATTATTATTATTTTTTTTTAAATTTATTTGTGTGTAGGGGGGGCCAACTCAGCCCACCAGGGGGCGGGGCTGGCTGGCATGTGGTGCTGGGGGATTGAACCGCGGTCCCTGTGTTTGCTAAGCTTGTTCTAAGTAGGTGCTTTAGACCACTGAGCCATCTCACCAGCCATCCTTCTGTGTTTTCAACCAGGAGGTGGTTGCTTCTACAGGACCTATGGATGGGGACAGCTGGCTGCACCCCACTTGTACTCAGTGTCTTCCAGCTGACT